TATATATATATATATATTACTGGAATATGCTGAAAAAAGTTATGCTTTCTCAATATAATGTTTTGCTAGCTTTGGTCTGTGACTGGAAGTCTGTAGAAAAAGGCAGAGGATACTAAATTCATGGTGCTGGTGGCTGTTACTGTATCCAGTTTATTGGTACACCTGGATGGGAAATCAGAGCAGGTTAGGAAATGTTCATACAGTCCCTCCTGGCAGGAGAACTGTGGAGAAAGTAGTCTATGGCTGATAAGTAGTGACAGGTAATTGGAATCCGTAACATCCTTTGTAGCCATATCTGGGGGAAGAGTCATCTTAAATTCATGGTGCTGGTGGCTGTTACTGTATCCAGTTTATTGGTACACCTGGATGGGAAATCAGAGCAGGTTAGGAAATGTTCATACAGTCCCTCCTGGCAGGAGAACTGTGGAGAAAGTAGTCTATGGCTGATAAGTAGTGACAGGTAATTGGAATCCGTAACATCCTTTGTAGCCATATCTGGGGGAAGAGTCATCTACCCGAGACCTCAGACCTGAAAGAGGCATATGCACAGGGCCCTACATTTCATTGAAATTGGTGGAGTATAGTGTCCTGTGGGCATAAGTCAGTTTTAGATACAAGACATCTATGCTTTGGCAAACTTTTATCTGCTAAATAATTATTTAAAGGATTGTTGTTCCAGGAGTTAACTAAGATATTCACATTTGTGAAATGATCTGTGGACTGAAGTAGAAAAGTGAGTGTTCTAAAGTATAACAAATGACTAATACATCTGGGGAAAAAAAACTGGATTGATATAGGTCCTATTATTGTTTAAATCAAGTTCGGATGCTCACTAACCTGCAGCCTAGTTACAATATCAGTATTGTAACTTAGTTCTAAAGACTAGTTCTAAAGACTTTAAAAAATACCCAGCTGTGATCTTACTGTATTTTCCTTGAAATCAATGTTTTAGGCTCAACTTCTAGGTTAATATAGGTAAGATGATGCTTAAAGCTTTTGAAAATCTCACTCCAAAACTTACGTAACATAAATTAGTTGTTTTGTATACAGCATATCTGCATATCATGATGTAGCATGTCCCACAGATGACTTTTTACTGTTAAAACATTTATTTCTATACTGTTTCGTAACTCTGTTGTTAATCATTGAATACTTAAACTACCATGGTATTTGAGCAGACAGTGGTTTATGCACAGAAAACTGGTCATCCATGAATAATCTTACTTGATTAGAAGTTTAAACTAACTTTCTTATCTTGAACAAACACAACAGACATTTTTTAGCCAGCTATTGATAATGTACAATTGCTTATCTTTATTTACCTCTTCCTCATTTTCATCCATGTGTATTTTTAAAATAGTTTTGAACATTTCCACATCACTTTCTGAATAGTATTTATACTAGTATTTCAGAGCCTTTGAATGATATTTTAAATATCTTAGAAAGGAAAAGTTGTGTTAAAACTCTCTTTATGTGAGCTTGGAGAATGTACTTGTTCATGACAAAAGGACAGCTGTAGAGAGGACACCTGTAGTTTCGATCTGAACCTTTAAATGTGTTGCTCTCTTTTTTGATTCAGTATGTCACTCTGCTGTTGCTCCTAGCTTTGCCAGGCTGCACGATGTTGAGAATTGACTAACCACTCATTTTCTGCTCTGTTATCATCTACTGCAGCAGGCAACAGCCAAGTGCAGGGAGTATCTGAGGAAAGCTCCTGTTTTCCGGCACCTTGAAAACTGTAAGATTAGAAAGGAAATAAACTGGAGTGGATGATGCCTCATTCATATAGTTACTCACGAGATACAGGTTGATAGAGACAGAATAATATCAAACAGGATCTCATGACTGCATTGTCTTCATTTATTCACCAGACAGCCATTTATGTTGGGCCTTCTTGTTACAAATGTTAAGGTTAAGAAGATAAAAGTGTTTGGAAGGAACATGATAGGATAGGTTTGATTAAATATCTTTGAAAGAAATGAAAAGCAGAAAGCTATGGAGGAGGAAACAAAAATTGAGTAGCACACAAGAAGGAAAAGACAAAGATGAAAGGAATTTAAATCACAACAGGAGAAAGGGAAATAAGGAAAGTCATGAGAAGTAGAGCCTTAAGTGGAGGTAGACGCAATAAATTACTTTTTAGCTTACATAAAAAATTGAAAGTAACATGGTTGACAGTATGAATTAAGTACTTGTGATATGTGGCTGGGATTTTTTTCTTTTATTTGTAAGTGGTGGGTTTTTAGCCTAGTAGAGCAGTTGTTTCATGCTGGCTAGTAGTCCTCATGCAGTGGGTATTGAATACTTTTTAGAATATTGAAATGTTTATCTTTTCAGTGTTGGTCCTAGTTTCAATTCTTCCCTTTTCCTTCAGCTACACTAAAAGCGCACAATAGGAGCTCCTCCTCATCTACCACTGATTTGCCGGGGTGTAGAGTATCTCTGTCTTTGCTTGGACACCAGACAGATTCTGGGTCTACAAGCCCATCCTCACCAGACTTTACCATTAGCACTTTGTGCCAATCAGGTGTAACAGCAGCACCATCAGGGAGCACCAGTACTTTATCCTGTGTTTCACGGTCTCAAAGTCAGTGGATTTCCTTTGCTGATGAACTTCTTACAATTAGACACACAAGTGCAGACAAGAAGGAGCCCCAAAGATTGCATTTTAAAGCTGAAAATGCCTGCCTTGCGTCTTCTGCTTTGCTTGGGAATTCTTCCAACAGCTGTGTTTCTGAGGATCCAAGTGACCTTTTCAATAATACTATATGCCATGAACAATTATTCATTGAAGAAACTGGCACTGCTGCTGAAATTTCTTCCACGTCATCTTCAGCACTACTGGACTATAGTTTAGTGTCTTCTTGTGCTCTTACAAATAAGGGTATGGCAAGCATGCATTGCATACTGCTCTTTGCTAATAACTGACTCCAAAAAGCAAGCTTTGGACTCATTTTTCTTTTTGTTAATATCACTCACCTGATGTTAAAATTAACTCATTTTCTTACTTAGAATGTACTAAACTGCTAGTTAGTACCAACTTCCTTGAAAGTTAGGACAATGAGGTAAATGTTGAAATAAGAAAATTTCAGATTATTCAGTTAAAGGTATTACTTTCTCTTAACTATGCAGAGCTTTGCTTTTCTAGAAATAGGAATGTATTTCTGTGGGATGTCAGCAGTGAGATCTCAAAGATTAAGTGACTGAATTTGCAAAAACAATTCCATTCCTAAATCAGTTTCTATAGGTTATTTTTCAGATTAAATAAATAAAATTGATTTAAAACTTCTCCTTTTTAACACTCAGTATTTTTAAGTGTGGGTGATACCATGGTAATGCTGCATATTAAGAAGGTGAAGGCAAAGTCCGTTTGGGCAGGTGTGCTATGACTTACTGAATACCTGTGGTACTGTATCAGAGTACTCAGTGTATAGCATGCACTGTCATCGTGGGACATAATAAGAATTTTAAAGGAATAACTGATATTTTAGAACTTAATTTATCCAGGGACATTTGAGTTTGCACCTCTTAAGGTGGATGTAGCCAGTATTAGCCTAATTTCTTTCTTCCTAAGTCAGTGATGAAACTCCTGTACTTAAATGACAGCAGAGTTATGCTGAGAGAACTCCATACTGAAAAGTTGCATTTTAAATAACATTAACTGGTTTAATTTAAAAAGAACCATCCAGAATAATTTGAGGGAGATAACAGGATGTGCTGCAACAACATAGTAATATATTAGGATCTCAGTCTATTTTGAAGTTAATTTTAGATCTGGTGTACTCAATGGAGGGCATCTAATATTTATTTTGAAATACCGGTTTTTTTGTTCTATTCAGAAAAGTGACTTTGTAAAACTGGCATCTTTGTACTGCTGCCACCACGTGTTAGTTGTTTCTCTTAAGTTTAGAAGGATGTGGGGGCAGTATTTTTTAACCGCTTTTTAACGGATAATAAGAAGTTATTGGTTTTTGTAGAATCAATGGAGTAATTTGTGTGTTACACTGGTGTATGCTTATTGAAGACAAGGGGATTTCAGTGGGCAAAATTTGGTGTAAAGAGAATTATGCTATTGTCAGCCAGGACCAAATACGAATTTCCACTGAATTTTCCTTTTGTGTTGAGATATAAAAGACTGTCTTATATTCTGAATCAACAGAGATTGTGCACAAAAGGAAACTCAGGTAAAACCATCTTTTTACATACAAACCTCCAAGAATAGTTGGTATAAAATAATTTGAGAGCAATGAGAAAGCCCATGATGCCATTTTTTAGAGTCACTTTTCAAGGTATCACAGGCAAAAAAAGCATGTATGATTAGTGGTAAATTTACAAAATTAAGCTTGTACAATGAGAACTTCTAATAGAAATGTAACTTCCGTCATTCCATTCAAGTGAGTACACATTTATGTTCAATGTGATCTTGCTAATATTTATTTCCTTAAATTTGCTTTCTTTCAGCAAGGCCCACAACTCCTCTTTCTGTTGGCGCCATTGTGCCCCCTCCAAGGCCTGCTTCAAGACCAAAGCTGTCTACTGGGAAACTTAGTGGGATTAATGAAATAGTATGTATGGATTGGTTTTTATTTTAGTTCTCCATTGTAACTTGATTTCAGATATACCATTCATTTACACAGTGGAATTACTTTGCAGTCAATGTTCAAGGAATCGCATAAGCAGATTTTCACCATCGCCACATAGGCATGGAAGTTGTTCATGGTAACTACATTACTGTAACAAAATAATTCTTAACAGAACTACAAAGGTCCAAAATTAATTTTTATATCAGTTGAATGTTTTTAATTTAACAAATCAGTATCTTTATAATGAAAGTATAGCATATGTATGAGATTGCAGTTTCCAAAATGAGAAATAGTAGCAAAGTTATTAACAAGGCTCCATTGATTTAAGGATATCACCAAAGCTTTGGGGAATGAGTGGTATTAAGTAGATCTGTTATCAGTCATGTGTTGACACAAGTAGCCGTGCTGTGACTTCTCCCTGCACTTGGTGCTAGTGAGCAGAGAAGGGAGGTAGCAGATTGCAGCAGTTGCCTGTCAGCATATGGTTGCATGCTGCCAGCATCTCTGCTCGCTGCCTGCAGTGCAGTCCTGCCGATAAGGAATGTGGCAGAGAATGCAGATACTCAGACAGTCTATCAGGCCAAGCCATGCTTAATCTCCTCTGTGAATATTAGGATTCTTTAAGTTTCATTTGACTTACTGACTTGGAAAAATGTTACCGTGGTAAAATCTTCTTACTGCTTTCAAAGTACCAAGGTATTTTCACCATATTCTTGTTATAGACAAAATTCTGGTCTTATGCTTTGACAAAACTGAAACATTTTAAACTGTTTTGCTTTTCTGTAAGGTCAGAATAGGGTTTATTTTGAGATTCTTTTCTCATTTCAATATAAAATTATAGTAATTGGTCTTAGACCAAGGAATCTGTTCTTCATGTCGTCATAATTAAAGAGAAGAATTTACCTGGTATCATTTTGCTATGCAGTATGATTCTGCACAAAGCTATATTCATTTTATGCTCCATTCACTTTATGCTATCCATTTTGTACTCCCTTTTTGCTATTGAAAGACTGTTAGTAGATTCTTCCTTAGGCTTCTGTTCTCCAGGCTGAAAAAATCCCAGGTCCTTCAGCCTGTCCCTCTCTTATGTACTCCAGACACAACTATGTTAGTTGTCCTCTGCTGGACTCGCTTCCAGTTTGTTAGTAGCTCTCCTTTAGCACTGTAAATCCACACATATACAGAGCTGTAGATTTAGTCCCCTGCTACTGTGTTATAGCACAATTATTGACAGGCTGCTATATAATCAAATATATTATACTTAACTATGCAGGCAATAAATGAATAACAGTAATCTACAAAATAATGGAATTTATTCCAGTGGAAACTGTAGGTTCTCTGTTTTACACTAAGAACTAGTGTAGATAAAGCTTTAAAGGAACTATGTTAAAAAACACTGAGAATCATAGAATCGCTTGGTTGGAAGAGATCTTTAAGATCATCAAGTACAACCATAACCTAACTTTACCAAATCTGGAGCTAAACCATGTCCCTTAGTACCATGAACATCTCTGTGGCTGGGGGTTCAACCACCTTCCTGGGAAGCCTATTCCAGTATTTAATCACCCTCTCAGTGAAACAGTTTCTTCTGCTGTCCAACCTAGACCTCCCCTGTTGCAACTTTAGGCTATTTCCTCTTGTCCTGTCACCCACACTCGCCTTACTACAACCTCCTTTCAGATAGCTGTAGAAGGTAATAAGGTCTCCCCTCAGCCTTCTTTTCTCCAGGCTAAACAACTCCAGTTCCCTCAGATGCTCCTTGATGACCCTTCACCAGCTTCATTGACCTTCTCTGCGCAGACTCCAGCACTTCAACATCTTTCATGTAGCGAGGGCCCCAAAACTGAACACAGTACTCAAGGTGTGGCCTTACTAGTACTGAGTACTAGGGGACAATCACTTTCCTACTCCTGCTGGTTACACTATTCTTCATAGAGGCCAGGATGCTGTTGGCCTTCTTGGCCACATGTGCACACACACAGAGACCTCTTTACATAGGTTTGGTTTATTTTTACATAACATTTAAAATAGTTACAGTCTTTTTTAATTCTTCTTAAAATCACATTGTGTAATACTCTTGCAATTTCTTCTCTTCAGCCTAGGCCATTCAGCCCTCCATTGACCTCTAACTCAAGTCCACCACCTGCAGCACCCTTGGCACGTGCAGAGAGCATTTCCTCAATATCCTCTTCTGCTTCCCTCAGTGCAGCAAACACACCTACAGTTGGTAAGTTAAATTAACCATTTTAACTTAATTTAGAAATAGCATAATTCTGCCACTAGGTTTTACCTGCTAAGGAAGATCATTTGTTGGAGTTGGCTGTTCCATATGTGAGTCCAGTCTAGGTACTCCAAGCATCCTTTGCAATACCTGCTTCTAAATGACACTGAGAGACAGGACAGTGGGTTTAATTAGTTTAGACCACAGATCCAATTATGGCATTTAGGGAAGTACTTTTCAAAATTATTATTCCATGAATTTGTATTTGGTGTGCTTGTATATACATTCATCAGGCACAACATGTTATCATGTATTTGCTTAGAAGATGTTACTGTACAGGTAACAGACATATTTTGGGATACTAGTAAATTTGAATTAACTCAATTTTGTGAACATTTATATTCTTTTATGTTCTTTTTGTTTGTTATCCTGTAATTGCAGTTTCAAAAAAAATGAAACTAATGCATCTTTTTCTTCAAGTTAGTGAAGTGTATAATCTAAACAGAGGTGTTTACTAAGGGCAAAACCAACAAACAAGAGGAAAAACAAATTAGTCTTCATGTGCTGCCACTGATTTCAGAAGGAAAAGTCCTTCATTTTTGTTATTTGGTTACAACAAATGAGAAGGAGATTGTTAGGGTTTGTTTGTTTCTTTGTTTAAAATGTTTAGACTTATTTCTTTAGCAGAACTGAAGTATTTTATTCTTGAACACTATTATCACTTTAGTCCCAAGTTAAATCAGATTCTTGAGTTAATGCTCAGTTATCTGTGAATGTTACTGTTGCAAAGAATTCCTCACCAAGGCTCAACAGCTCAGGAGAGCAACTGCAGAGCTTCTAGCAGGAGTTCCGCGCTGAAAGCAGTGCAGCTGTTTCTACCCTGTGCAGGACCAAATCTAGTAAGGTCTGCCCAGCCTGAGCTGCTACAGTTCACTCCTTACCAGTTTCCCAAATGCTGAGAAGCATCACAGGAAAATAACTGGCATTTTGGTTGCTGAAGTCCATCCAGGTGCACTTCCTCAGGCCTCAGCACTGGTGCCAAGGAACCAAAAGTTGATGGCAGCGGCATCAATAGCCACAAGTCTGAGTGTATATGTTGTTGGAGACGGTAACAATGAAATTGTGAGGTGAGGGAGGAGGTAAGGAAGGTTGTGCTGACACCAAGGTTTGACATAGTTACTAACCTGGCCTAGCAAAAATAAATGAGGACAGTTCCATCTGCACTGACTGTATGAATTAAATAGTCCTGGAGAGCTGGGAAGAACAGTGGAGACAGCTGAATGACTTTGGGGCATGAGGATACACTCTGCTCTACTATCTGTATTCTTTTGACTTTTGCACAATCCAGTGTTTCCCTTACCCCATGTGTTCTGAATAATGGAGAATTGACTCTAATTATCTTCAAAGTGAACTTTAAGGCATGCATAATTGTATGTTTCTTTTATGCTTTAGCCTTATTTTAATTTGCAAAGTATTTTATATATATATCTTTATAGAGAGATAGATATATTTAACATATATTTTTGCTTGCAATATTTTGTTTTCTTGCAATGTTTTGTTTCATTTAAATGTAATAGAGGATGATCTTTTGGTTGGAAATCTTCCTACAATTGAAAAGCTTTGTGAGACACCACCAGGTATTGTACTCAAAGCAGATTTACATGTTAACTAATCTTCCTAATACACTATACCTAATAAAATTTTATTTCTTTTAAAACAAGTTTTTCCAGCTATTTCTGGCATCTAGCAGATACAAGTAGCTTGAAAGCTCAACTACTTAACAAGTTATATGTTACTGAAATCACCAAAACTTTATATAACTGCTTTTATATAATGTAATCTTCTGTCTATCCCCACAGGCTGAAACTTGGTCTTGCTTCTTCAATTTGTCATTACCACTTTATTGGAAGTAAAGTGAATATATTTTTGTTTTGACAGTCCTTATTCTTTTAAGACAAGTAGATAAAACTTTTTCACAGATCTTTGAAGATATACATAATAAAGGTAGTTTTCTTTTAAACAGATTTTATTTTCATGATAGCTGTTTAACCAGTATTAAAATTGTCTGAATCTTTGTCCCTAAACTGAACTAAAACCATTTGACCAGGTTTGTTTATTCGCCCTTTTTATGAGCAATGATGCATTCTTTTATTCTGCAGTTTGGCAACATCCTTGAATGTGTCAGTGCAACTGTTTACATGGTTGCGTCAGTAGCTCTTGTGTCAGCACAGCTCGGGGGCTGTTACTGGTTGTCATGGCTGAGGCTGGGGGGAGGGCATCA